CCTGAACTCCGTAATATGCTCTACACTTTTGATTATTTCCAAACTTTTATTACTAGATAAACAGGTTTTGGGTATATTGGATGATTGGGGGATTTTTAACTGTATGTTTAACCTTGAATACAGCTTGTGTGTATGCTTCCTTATATTGAGGATGGAATGACTTGAAAGCACTGATTCTTGATTTATTTTCACTAGCCTATAAAGTGGGTTTATGTTCATTAATTTCGAAACTCTTGACTTTTAGGAAGTTTATTTTAATTTTGATCATTGAAGTCCAGCTCATAAATAATCAGTGTGATCTTTTGGTAAACTACAGGAATGACCTCCTCTCCTAGTTATCTTCCATGCTTGTTTCATGTTAGTTCTGTATTCATGTTCTACTAACCTTTCCAAAGGGTAGTACAAGTCATTGAACTTTACATTTCACATCCTTTGCTTCTTTAGTTCAGCCCTACCCCAAAAACGAAGCCATTTTTATTTTATACTTACTATTGTGTTGTTCTCATTTACAGTATACAATATGTATTGGGGCCCAAATTGACAACTGCTTCCAGTATGGGCAAGATGCTGATGTGAAGATTAAAGGATTTTGACCCGGACGATGACGAGTAGCTTATTCCCTTTTGCAGCACTGCTTGGTGTGTTTGAAAGTTCAGTCTTCCCATCCACAAAATTGTCTATCAAGCTTACATTGTTAATATATAATATCTCATTAGATTGTTTCAATATGAATCGGGGACTTTGATGATTTGTACTATTTAGCTTCCGAATGGGGAGAAAAATTGGGACGGATGCTTGGTTAGGACATGAAATGTTTTTAGACCCTTGAACCTTGGTTACTAATTCTAATGGCATTCAAAAAATTTGAACTTATATTAAAAAGTTTGATGTAGGCAAAAAAAAACACGAGGTTTGTTGAATTGTTTTGAAAATCATGTTTTCTCTTGCAAAACCGAATTCTAGTTCAATTTATTCTCTGATATTAAGATTTGGAGTTAAGGAATGTTTGATGCCAATTACTTTAAGGTGTCAATTACTTTTTTATTTTTTATTTTTTTCTTTAAGGTGGGTCCACTCCTTTCTCTCTTTGTACGAGAAATTGAAAGCCTTTTTTTTAATATAAGAAACTATTAGAAGTAAAAGTCACAGTTCACATGCCTTTTAAAAGAAAATGTTCTTGAAAAATTTCATGAATGTCAACTTTTAAAAGCCTTTTGAAGCTTCTCAACACTTTGATAGAAGACATGGAAAAGCATATTAATATGGTGATTTATCTTGTGCACTCGATATCTTGCTTTACCTGTTAGGTTGATTCATCATTTTGCTAAATTTAAAATTGGAATAAAATGATCAATTAGCTCTTCCCAGTTACGTATAATCTTCAGCAAACAAGTAGTTTTTTTGATAATTTCATTTAGGCTACATGTATTCTTTTACGTTTAAGCCTCTTCAGGTTCGCTTCAAAACAAATCCAATGATTATTATAAATTTCTTGATTAAAACTATAATAACTCGAATCATTAAATTGTAAATTTGAGAATTAATTAAGAATTAAAAGAAATAAATTAGAAGAATAATGCATTTTTCTTCCTGCACAATTTTTACTTTAATTAGAACATTTTTGGCATTTTATATCATAAAAGCATTTTTTTTTATATTTATGAGATTACTAATAGACATTATAATTACAATAGATTTAAGTGATAAATTTGAAACCATAAAAACATAAGTGATATACCCAATAACAATAAAAAGTGAAAGCGATATTTTTCCCAATTTATATTCAAGAGATAAAATTGATATTTGGTGTATCCTTATGGAATAAAATAGGAATTTACTTTTTTTTCAAAAAAAAATTCTTTGGACAGATTTTCAAAAGTTTGCTAGAATCTGTAATCAATCCAAACACAATTGAAAAGTTTTTGGTGACAGGGCTTTGCAAAGTGTGCCAGAAAAATAATCGGAACATAAAATTTGTAGATTTGTGGAATGAGGCTTTCAATGTTTTCGTAGATAGAAAATTTGTTGGACGAGATATTTATAGTCTCAAGACAAACACGGAGATAAACCTCTCTTTTGAAATCTAATCTTTCATACGTTTTGCACACACACCATTATTCATTGGCTTCAAATCATATTATTCGTAATTTTTCGGGACCCGTTACATAATTAATCACTAACCCATGGATTCAATATTAACAACAATTATCCCTTCGCATCTAATGTTGGATTTATGCTCTTTACCAATGTGTAAAAAGAGCTCAATGAGCTCATGTAGCTTAGGGCTAGGATTTTTTGATATCCATATAAATTTTATACGTTTGACCATCTCTATCCAGTCTTCTTCTTCTGCTATTGTGTTGGGGTTTGCCCGTAAGAGAAAAGAACAGAGAACGAAAAATGGATATTCAGATTTTTATTCAGATGAACATCTCAATAATTTACAATGTTCTTTTATATCACAAGTATGAACTAACTTCTAATACTGACAACGAATCACTTACTTCCTAATTGTACAAAACCTCAATGTACATTTTACACCTCAACTAATTGTTTCACTAAACTATTCACGTGCCACTCATGTACATATCCTCTAAGAGAGTAGAACTTCTCTTTTATACGACTGGACCTCCTAACATATTGCATAGTCTGAAGTAAGGTAATTTTCATGAAAGTGAGAGAGTGTTCACACACTTCACACACTGTTACCAGCCAACTTCAAGTAAATCGATCGTGCTGTGACGCAAAGAAGAGTAGTTCGTACACAAGGAGGGTCTGCACATATTTGCTTCTCAAGAGGTAAACTTAAACCATGACGAGTGGTTGTATTACAAACTGCAATGGTCTAAATGCTTCCGCATATCCAATTACTCTAACATCTAACACGTGGCAAAACAGATTCAATTATCATTTAGAATTAGTGTTCCCATTCTCAGTTATTCAATTGCATTAGAAGGCAGAAATATGAATAATTAGAAGGCAGATATTTGAGTCTTTATCTCTTAAAAACGAAGCAACACAGCCATTTGGTCTTACGGATGGCAAGTTGATTTATTCTTGAAAACGATTTTTGCCAATTTCTTACCCCGATGGCTATTCGCTTTTGTGTTCAATCAAAATTTGTCCGACTTTTTTTTACCATGAGGAGTTACTTATCTTGTTTAATTATTATTTTATTTATTTTACAAGAGTAATTTCTTTGGTGATTGTGACATAAAATGCGTTCAATTAACACACTATGCTATTGGATGCATAAATATCAACCTAAACTTGAAACTAATATAAAAATTTAAACTAGTTCTATTTTAGTTTATTATTCCTTTCTCTGGAATACTGAGTGCAACTAAAACATAATTAATTATAGACTTGTCCATAGCGCGTCGTCTGAAACATCTGAAAGAAGAACATTCATTCACAACAACAAAGTACATGAATAAAATGTAATTGACGTAAATGTGTCACCTCAAACCTTTCAATAGAGAAGAACACTGATCATGACGGACAATGTAAACAAATTAAAAAATAATTGGTAATATATTCAGAAATAAACTCGTAGCCGAGAATATGAAAAATAAGCTATCGAAGATAGGGATGTGCATGGGTCAAACCGAATCGAATTTTTTGAAAAACTGAACCAAATTGGTTTAAATTGTTCGGTTCGAAAGTGGTTTGGTTCGGTTCGAAACCGGTTCGGGTCGACCCTCTTTTGAAAAAAAAAATTAAAATTTAAAAAATAAAGTTATAAAAATCAATTTGGTTCGGTTTGAAAATGGTTCGATTCGGTTCGGAAACGGTTCGGTTCGGTTCAAAATGGTTTGGTTCTTAAACTGGTTCTAAAAACCGATTCGGTTCATGATCTGGTTCTTTAAAAATCGATTCGGTTCATGAACTGGTTTTTAAAAACCGATTATTTTAAGGGCGGTTCAGTTCGGTTCAGTTTTTTGGTTATTTTGCACACTTCTAATTGAGGAGCCATTTTTATTTTTTTTATTTTATAAATCACATGTATCTTTTACGGAGACAATCCTAGAAGATAGCTCTCCCAAAAGAAATTTTTTATATTCATAATAACTTCAACCCAAGAATTTACTTAGTGCCTATTTAGATCATCTCTTTTTTAAGCTAGAAGCTACTCATAAACAGAAATTGGGCCAAACAAGTTTTGAGAAAAACTCTTATAATAATTTTTTTTTTATAATGAAGAAAAAAGCTAAAAGCCAAAAGCTTCCGGAAGAGGATATTTTTTTATAAGTTTTTATCAGTTTTTCTTGAATTGTGTGTTTTTTTAAACGAAGAGTTATAAAGATAGAAATAGAGAAAATTTTCTTAAAATATGTGCTTTTAAGTAACTTTTAATCTAAAATTTATATGTAATCACCAAATAATTTTTAGTTAACTTTAGCTTATAAGTAGCTTCTAACCTAAAAAAGAGAGGATTCAAACATACTCGAAGTAAGCATATACCCGTCATGGACGGTTAGATAACTGTATTAGAAATTTTGTAGTGAGAATTTTTTTATCTTTATTATTTTATCTTATTCTAACTGAATTAGTTGAGTAATATAGTAACTCATGAGAAAAAAGTTATAATAAAGGATTTTCTTGACTGCATGCCCCAGCTTTTATTGTGTTTACAACAATGTCTTGTTGTTTTTCATTGAAATCCCATTTAAGTAATAGAACCCAAACTTTGTACATGACCAAATAAAATTGAAATAACAGCTAAGGCATCCAAATTATTCTTCTTTACGAGACCATCTTGGAAAAAGCTTAATGCTTATGCGTAGTAATTTAAATGTTTCAAAAAAAAAAAAAAAAAAAGACATGAAATTAGGCTTCAGCTTTTTAATAGAGTCAATTAGCGTCTAGAAATTAAAAGGATATAAAAACACCTAGATTCCAAATATTTAACTTTAAATATATCCATCCACCTTCTGTACTTGCATATATTACTTCTCAATAATATCATCAAAAGTTAAGCACAAAGAATCTCCCAAAGCATGTCTTTCTCATTCAATCCGAAACTGTTCTCAATCCTTCTGTTCTACATACTTGGCTTCCTTATCTTTGCACCTGCTGAAACAGCCTCAACTTTCAGCCATTACAACTGCACAAGCATGAATACATATGCTCGCAATAGCACTTACCAATTCAACATAAACACACTCTTAACTGCACTTTCATCCAAAGCTTCTGCCAGCACCAACCAAGGTTTCTACAACACCACAATCAGTGGAATAAACACTTCAGACACTATATATGGACTCTTCATGTGCACAGGATACATAGAACTCTGTGGAGAATGTGTTAGGAACTCCATCAAGACACTTGCCTCAAGGTGTGCCTTCAATAAAGAAGCTATAATGTGGTCAGATGAATGCATGGTTCGCTACTCAAACAGGTCTTTCTTCAACACTATGGAGGAAAAGCCATCATCATGTGTGCAGAACAAGGAAGATTATCGAGGGGTATTGGAAAGCTTCAACAAAGTGTTAAGATCCTTGATGGAAGATCTTCTAACTCAAGCAAGTGAAGCTCCAATGGGTTCTAATAAATTTGCTTTCAAGAAAGAAATGATCTCAGAGGACAAATTCTTGTTTGGCCTTGCTCAGTGCATCCCCAACCTCTCCAAGGACAATTGCAGGCAGTGCCTTGGGGATGCCATGGCTTATCTTCAAACTTCATGTGCTAGAGGCAAGATAGGAGGAAGAGTTTTGTATCCAAGTTGTATTGTTAGATATGATCCTTATCTATTTCATCCCCTTCTTCTACCTATAGGTTTGAACATTTTCCACTGAACAAGATTGATTTGTTTTCCAATAAATTGAGCTAACACTGAGAGGGTGAGCCTCGAGCAGTGGTAAAGTTGTTCTTTTGTGAATGAAATATCACGGGTTTATAGGGATTGCTCTCGCCCCTATTCTCGCTTGTTGGGATTTTATTGGGGAGTGGTTTTTTTTCTTTCTTTTTGAGCTTACACTATTCTCTATTGCAGGCAAAAAAAGGAACCTTGGAGCATTGGCAACTACCATAATTTTTCATGCACTTGTTCCAGTTATGGTTTCTGCTTTTTGGTTCTATCTGCTATGTAGGAAAGCAAGGAAGAATATAAAGCAACCAAAACAAAATTGTAATGTGTAACTAGAAATAATCTTCACACTGATATCTTTCACTGTTTTGAAGTTTACTGGTGGAGATACTTATATTTACTGAAATGATTTTTTAATTTTAAACTTTTTTGGTGTAGTTGGGGAAGAGATTACAACAGAAATGAACTCTTTGCAATTTGATTTTCGTAGTATTCAAGAAGCAACAAACAAGTTTTCTGTTGAAAACAAGATAGGGGAAGGTGGTTTTGGATCAGTATATTGGGTAATTAATTTAAATGTTGTGTTAAACCATAGTGAAGAGATTTTGTTGTAATGTTAAAAAAAAAATTTATTATTGATGGTATCTCTGTTATAGGGTATGCTTCCTAATAATGGACAAGAAATAGCGGTGAAGAGGCTCACAAGAAATTCAAGTCAAGGAGCAACAGAATTTAAGAATGAGGTTTTGCTAATAGCCAAGCTTCAACACAGAAATCTTGTGAGACTGTTGGGATTTTGCATGGAAAGGGATGAGAAGATACTCATTTATGAATTTGTGCACAACAAAAGCCTTGATTACTACCTATTCAGTTTGGTACTTCAACCTTTTATCCTTGTTCACTTACAAATTTGATCTATTTGTGAGTTGAATGCCTTGCCTACATATTTTGTCTAATGTAATTTTTCAAACATTTGATTGATTATGATGAGAATAAAGCTCTTTTATTTTATTTTATTTTTTTCTTTTATAATTTAAGATACTTGTGACAATTTAAACATTACAGGTCGCGAAAACCATAGAAAATTAACTTGGCCTGAACGTTACAAGATCATAAGAGGAATAGCCCGAGGTATTCTTTATCTGCATGAGGATTCTCATCTCAAAATCATACACCGCGATCTTAAACCTAGCAACATTTTGTTAGATAGCAAAATGAATGCAAAGATATCAGATTTTGGCTTGGCAAGGATTATTGGCATTGATCAAATGCAAGGAAATACTAGTATAATTGCTGGGACATAGTAAGTTTTGGGTGTTTAATAACTTTTTCTTCTAACTCAAAGGAACTTTTGGTTTTGGATAATAATGACATTCAGTATATTTGTTTCTTTTCCCTTATGACAAGCTTTCATATTTTTTTTTTATTTCTTTGTAGTGGCTACATGTCTCCAGAATATGCAATGCTTGGCCAATTTTCTGTTAAATCTGATGTGTTCAGCTTTGGTGTCATAATTCTCGAGATTGTTACTGGCAAAAGAAATGTAGACTTTAACGGAGTAGATTCTATTGTTGACCTGCTGAGCCATGTGAGTATCAGATTATTGCGTAAATATATAATATGTTCTGTGAAAGGTGTTTAGCAAGTTGAAAACTTAGGTGGCAAGTTTGTTAGAGAAGTATAAAAACTATTAATGTAATCTCACCCAATAGTTTAAGCTTTGGATTGAATTGGTTCTTTACATAGTATCATAGCTTAAATGTCACGGATTCAATCCTCAATGCCCCCATTTAATTAATAATTAATTAAGTCTTAAGGAGTTTCTTAGGACTTGTGCATTATCCACCTTTCAAGTCAAGTTTAGTGAGCTCTTGTACGAGGGGGGCCGTGTTAGAGAAATATAAAAAATCATTAATGTAGCCTCACCTAAGAGCTTAACCTTTTTGGTTGAATTGATTCTTTACAAAGTTGTGTATGTAGAAAGTTTCAAAAACCAAAGAAACACAAGTAACATCTTTCACGAACCAAGTTGTATATTTACAGTATATTGTTGGAATCTAATTTGGGTTACTTTTGACAATCTCCATTTAATTAAAGAAAAGAAAGCAAGTAAGTGAACATCTGTTTGGCAATTTGATTAATTGCAGGCTTGGAAGAAGTGGAGGGATGGTAAGATCTTGGAATTGTTGGATCCCACATTAGCACACATGTTTTTTGAAACAGAAGTGAATAGGTGCATACAAATTGGTCTACTATGTGTGCAAGAAAACCCACAACAGAGGCCTACTATGGCAACAATTGCTTTGTATTTTAATTGTGATGCAATGGATCTGCCATTACCTAAAGAGCCAGCATTTTTCATGCATGGAAGCACAGAATCAAGGATGACTAAGAAGGAATTTGACGACCTAGGAGTTATTTAATAGCATTATCAGTTAATGAAAAGTCTATAGGTCAAAATTTTCCTAAATACTAGTGATCTTACACACACTATATATGATAGATCTTACATACACTATGATGTACTTAATTGATTGATCTTGGCCATATTTTGTGAGTGTATTGGATATCTATTGGATCAAAATGGGTCTGATATCTGAAGTAGTGATGTTGTCATTAGAACTGGACCTATGTTAAGTGATTGGATCATATCTGTAGCTATATAACTCATATCGCAATAAGACAAGCGCCATTGAAAAGATAACGTCCAGGTCTACAACTCATATACAGAGAACACTTTTTCAAATTACGCTTTTTTGATAGTTAACACTGAGATACAAGATAAGTCAAGAATTGAAGATCAAGAAAAGATCACAATAAAGGGAGAACTTTTGAAAAGAATCCTATGAATTCTCTACAAATAGGAGGAACTGCAAAGGAGATAATCTGAAAATTTTAAAGAGAAAGCATTTAGAAACCACTATCTTCCCTTGATAAATAAAGATTTCCATTTCTTTACTGGTATGGCTGAACAACTTGCACGGGCATATACTCATGTTATTTTTGAAGAATTCTATGAAGAATTGTTTGTATCTTTATCTGTGGCAAATGAAAAAATCAATGAAAGTGGTACTTTCGTTTGTTACAAGTTGGTTAAATCTAGTGATGATGTTGTAAATATTTATATTATTTATTTATTTATTATTTGTTGTATTGGGCATAGCCCATTAGGTCAAGTATTCTAGGTCTTGTATTCTCTATAAATAGAGAACCTTTGTACAAAGTATTTACACAATTTTATAATATATCAGAATACCTTTTTCAAGTTGGTATCAGAGCTCTCGATTCTGAGGGTTCTGCTTCCACAAATCATCATCTTTAAAAACCAACCCTATTTGCCTCTCGCCGCCACAAAGCCGCCGACGGGAAAAAAATTACAGGGACCGTTTGGACCGTGAGGACCCCTGTTTCACTCCGTTTTCTTAGATCTATCATTCTACGGAGGTTTCTTTTTCATCAGACGACCGGAACAGCTCAAAAAAAAAACGTGGCACTGTTCATCGCGCACTGTTTTGTGAGTGTTTTGGATATCTAGTGGATCAAAATGGGTCTGATATCTGAAGTAATGATGTTGTCATCGGAACTAGACCTATGTTAAGTGATTGGATCATATCTGTAGCTATATAACTCATATCGCAATAAGACAAGCGCCATTGAAAAGATAACGTCCAGGTCTATAACTCATATACAGAGAACACTTTTTCAAATTACACTTTTTTGATAGTTAACATTGAGATACAAGATCAGTTATAATAGCCCATATTAATTAATTAGGAGATCAAGTGTAATTAATTAATTAAACATGTTTTACTGGGTGAAATTAAGTATGAGGCTTAATAAAATGAATCTGAGTCACTTTGGAGTTAAAAAGTGTACTCAGTGAAAATTAAGGGGTATAAATGGGTACTGTCAAAAGTACCCAAAATATAAAAATAAAAATAGTAATATTCCTAGATTAATATTCCAGACTTTTGGGTAAAGTTTGGTAATTATTGGAGTTGAATAGATAGACGAACCAATACCCGCTTAAAGTCACTTAACCTATGTTAAGTGACTAAAAGCCAAATGAGCCCCATTTCCCACCCCCATTTCGTCGAGAAACAGAAAAGAAGGAGGAAGAAGAAGAAGGAGAAGGAGGAGAAAGGGAGAGAGAAGAAGAGAGAGAGGAGGGAGCAAATCCCAACCGATTGGAGTGATTCAAAAGCCTAAACCACTCTAAATCTTCTCCTCTTTCATAATCCTAGCTTTGTTTTGAGTGGGGAGCATTGTGGAGAGAGATATTACCTCTCAAAAATTCGGCCCTTTGGTGAAAATTGGGGTTTTGAGAGTTTCTACCTCCATTGAAGCTTGAGGAGCCATCAATCCTTGGTTGTGTGACCATTGGTGGTAAGATTCTAACCCTTGAACCTCATGATTCCTTGAAATTTGCATGAGTTAGGGTTTGTGAATAGTAAATTGGGATTTTTATGAAATGTGGTTGAATTAGCTATGTTCTAGGAAGAATGGAGCTTAGAGCATGTTATGGAAAATGCTAGGAATGTCATTTAACCGGTGGAAATGAGCCTAAATAGTCATTTGATAATTGTTCATAATATTGGAAAATTCATGCTTGGATTGGTTAGTATTCTAGCATGTTGAACAATTAGTGAGTTGAATGATTGATTGGATCCTTGTGATGTCTAGGATTGAGACATTTGGACCAACCGTGAGTGATCAACCATTGGAGCAAGCTATGGAGCTTGAATAGCTCATTGGAATTGGTAAGCTCATACTTGTGTGGTGCTTTGAATTGAGTAATTGATGGTTGATTGTGAAATACTCTTGGATGCAATGTGTTGATTGCATTACACCATGTGTAGGTGTATGTTTGTAAAAGTTGATTGCTGAAACTGTTGGTGAAGAACAAAGGTTGACTGAAGCATTGAGGTAAGCCTTCGGACCTTGGGTGTAATTCCCTTGACTGTTCTACCAAGCCCTGAAAGGGTGGAGGTTGTGATTGTGTATATAAATGCAATAAAATAGTGTAATGCTTTGTTATACGTATGTGTATGCATTTGGTGTGGCATAGGATGGTGTTTCCCTATGTGGGTATGTTGCATGACGATGCGTAAATCATACATGGTAGTTAGCTGGCCAGTAGGACTATTTGCATCTGAGTTTCCTTAGGACAGCTTGAGAGCTCGAGGGATTTCTCCTGGAGATGTATTGCACTTTGCATAGATATGTATTTACTGCATTATTATTGTTATTGCTATTACACCGATATGGAACTGTGGGGTGGAGAGATGCTCCAAGGACCCCTGGTTTACTGGATATATTCGTATATCTCACCCCGTGTTGTGGGGACCCCCTTTCAGGTAAGGATGCTGCAGGAGCCTCTGGTGGCAAGTGGCCATACCTAGATTATGCATGAAATATGGCACTTCTTTGAGTTTATGCATGCCTTTTGTAGTTGACATGTATAGGATTTTATTTTGAAAGCCCATGATCATTTGTATATCTTGATTCATTTGATGAACTTAGCCTATGCTCATGCCTTTGGTTACACCTTTTGTTGATGGGAGCCAAGGGAATGATCATAGTGTTTTGTAAGCTAAGTTCTATGATTTGTAAAGGATATGTAATGTAAATGATGCCTACTTGGAATTCAATATATGCATGCTTGTTATGTATTGAGTTGTTGAATTGGTTGGGCTGAAAATCAATTAGGTACCCTCTTCGTTTAAACTGGTAAACGATGATGCTGCCCAAGTAGAAGTATTGAACTAAACAAGAAGTAAATTAATGGTTTAAAAATGGGAAATGAACATGATGTTAAGCTTAATTTATCTGTTTCCGCAAGGTAATATGGTTATGATCACGAAATCGGGTATTATAAGTTCGGTACGTTTTAAAATGAAAAATTTATCCGGATTTTAATTGAACCCATGTGATTGTAACTGCGCTTAATATCATAATGCGATGTTAACAAACCGGTTCTAGAACGGGGTGTTACATTTTATGGTATCAGAGCAGTTTCGTTGGGAATAACTGTTAGCTATTGTTGAGTACGCTTAGTGTTTGATGCTTTATAGTTGTTTTAGTACTCTGTATGATTATTGCATTTGTGATCACTAAGTGTGGGCCTGATCAACTCACTTCTTTGTGTAACATGTGTAGTGACATGACGAGGAACCGAAACAACCCCGGACCATCAAACACCAATGCTCAGCCAGAACCTGTTTTGGCTGCTCTTGTGAGGCCTAGAAGTGGCCGTGGGGCAACGGGCGTACAGCCTGATCCCGTGGCTGAAGCTCTTGCAGCCGTTCAGAGGGAGTTGGCTGCTAGCAGGCAAGCCAATGAAAATCTGATGAAAACAAATGAAGACTCGCGGACTGCCATGGCCGCAATGATGACTGAGCTGAGGACGTTGAGGGGTCCTAGGCCCGTGAACCGGCAACCCACTCCTCCTCCTCACACTGCTACGCCTTCTCCACCTCCTTCACAGGAAGAGGGTGGAGTGGGTAACAATGAGGGTGAGGGTAGCCATCACTCCGGAAGTCGGAGTCATCACACTGAGGTTCGTCAACCTCAAGTTGAAAATGTCGGTGATCATGAAATGGAGGAAAGGAGATTAATGGCTTTCCGAAAACATAAACCTCCTTCTTTTAAGGGAGGTTATGAGCCAATGACGGCTGCAAAATGGCTCCAAGCTATGGAGAAAATATTCAGGGTGATGAGGTGCCCTGACGCAATGAAGTTGGCTTACTCTGTTTATATGCTGGAAGAGGAAGCAGAAGATTGGTGGACAAATACCGTGCAGCCATTAGAAGCTGAAGGTCGGGAGATCACATGGCGGTTATTCGAGACATTGTTCTTGGATAACTACTTCCCTAGAGAGGCTAGGGAACAAAAGCAGAATGAGTATAACGATCTCAAACAAGGGTCGATGTCTATTGACCAATACTTCTCAAAATTCAATGAGTTGGTGAAATACGCCAACTATGGGCGAGCCTTACCCACCCCGGCTGAAATGACCTCCAAGTTCCAATGGGGTCTTAATGAGAAGATGTCTCGGAAGATGTCAAATTGTGACATCCGAGAGTTCAGTCGGTTTGTAAACCAGTGTAGAAAGGTGGAAGAAGTGTATAAGGTGTCCCAAACCAAGAAGTCTTCTGAGGCTCAGGCACCTAGTTCTCATAAAGCAACGGGCTCCGGTTATTGGAAGAACAAGAAGGTGCAAGGCAAGAAGCTGAATGCGAATAAGCCCTTTGACTTGTTCAAAAAACCCGGTACTCAGAAGAAGTTTGTTGATAGAGGACCTCCTCCCAAGTGTAGGGGATGTGGCAAAGAGCATAGAGGTCCATGTGCTACTGGTGAGGTGATTTGCTTTAAATGTGGAAGATCCGGTCACTACTCTAGGCAGTGTCCTCAGAATGAAGCAAGAACTATGGCAGTTCAAGCTACTGCTGTTCCGGTCTCTGTTGTTCAACCTATGCTAGAGTCTCAGACGGTTGGTAGAGTATATACCATGGACCGTCAGCAATCGGAGAAGGCTCCGAATCTAGTGAAAGGTACAATTTACATTGATAATATGGATGTGGAAGTATTGTTTGATACAGGAGCTACACACTCCTGTATGTCTGATTTTATGGCCGTTGGGCTAAATTTGCAAAGGTATGACATTCGCCCTCCAATGAAAGTGGTTACTGCTACTGGAGAGGAGTGTTATACATCCGTGTTGTGTAAAGATGTTGAGTTCAAATATGAAGGCCGAGATTACGTGCTGGATTTTATTTGTTTACCTATGATCAGCCTTCAAGTTATCTTGGGTATGGACTGGTTGTCAAAGAACTGTGCTATGATAGACTGCTGCGGTAAAAGGATTGTGCTTGATGCTGATGATTCTGCTACTAGTTCTTCCCCATATCTATCTGTGTTGCAGGTTAGAAAGGCTTTGAGGGCCGGGGCATTGGGATATGTCTTTGTGGGGGGTTTAGTAGGCGGAAGTCATGAGGAGATTGGCACTATTTCCGTGGTGAGGGAGTTTGTGGATGTGTTTCCAGATGAAATTCCACAACTTCCGCCTCATAGAGAGATTGAGTTCACGATTGATCTATTGCCTGGTGTGGGGCCTATCTCTCTGGCTCCGTATAGGATGTCACCACCGGAATTAGCCGAGTTAAAGAAGCATATTGAAGAGCTTTCGGCTAAGCAGTTTATCCGGCCAAGTGTGTCCCCGTGGGGAGCACCAGTCATATTTGTTAAGAAGAGGACGGTAGCATGAGATTGTGCACTGATTACCGTCAGTTGAATAAGGTTACCATTAAGAACAAGTATCCTCTCCCTCGCATAGATGATTTGCTTGATCAGTTGAGGGGTGCTTGTGTCTTCTCAAAGATTGATTTGAGGTCGGGTTATCATCAAATCCGAATTAGGCAGGAAGATATTCCGAAGACTGCCTTCCGATCTAGATATGGACATTATGAGTATCAAGTAATTCCATTTGGACTCACTAATGCTCCTGCGGTGTTTATGGATTACATGAATCGCATATTTAAGCCGTTTCTGGATCAATTCGTGATTGTGTTTATTGATGATATCCTGATATATTCCAAGAGTAAGGAAGAGCATGAAGGTCACTTGAGAACTGTGTTGCAAATTCTCAGAGAGAAACAGTTATATGCAAAGCCTTCTAAATGTGAA